CTGTGAAAGAATGTTCTCTTTGTCTCTTCCTCTTCTTCTCTTGAACCTGAAATTTGTTAATTTCAGTGGACAATTTTGAGCTTTAATGACCAACCCTAGTCATCTCTCTACTACTGATACTTTTTTTTTTTTTTTTGGTGATGGCTATGGTTCATATCTTAGATTGCTATTGTCATCTTTGTTGTTAAACTAAAAGCCCCAAGTAGAAAATATTGTAGTATTTTCTTATAGGGTTGAGTCCTGCGATCTTGGTTGTACTTTTCCAGCATAACCACTTAATGTTTGGGTTGGGATAAAGTTGTACCTACTCTTTCAAATGTGGCTGTACTGATCAGTTTATAGAAAGGTTTGATTATATTACCTCTTTTATTTCTAATATATTTCCTAACAATTTCTAAGACTGAGTTTTCACTCTTCACTGTTTCTGCACACTGAATCTGCACTTTTAGTAAGTTGTCTGTTATAGCTCCAGTGACTTTTTTTTTCCTGTTCAGTGACTTTCAGTTCAAGCCTCTTCAATATGATAAATTTCAATTTTCCCCCAGCATGCACTGCACTTGCAATGTTGGCCATTCATCCAACTGGAAAAATCATTTTGGAGTACTTTGGAGCCTTTTGACTTCATAAGCCTGGACAATTAGATGTCAGCCTCATTGTTTGCCTCATTTTCTTTATTACTGCAATTAAATTAATCAGCTTTAGCCCAGTGACCATTTATTTTCCCTCATTATCAGAACTCTCCAGTTATTCTTGCCTGTTTTGTATTATTTAATTTATTTGTGAGTCACAAAAGGACTTGTATTTCTAAAGAAAATTGGAGGGGGGCTTTATCAAAAGTTTTTTTGGAAACCAAAGAATTCATTTCAGTCCATCTGGATTCAAGAAATCCAGGAATCCATAAAGAGGTATGTGAGTCCATAAATGCCAATCCAGATTGTGCTGATTTTACATGGTTGTTGATAACTCTCAAAAGCTATGCTTTGAAGGATTTGTCTTTACCAAGCTTCTACTGATTTTCCACACAAATACTTGTTCTTTCATGTGTTTCAGAATGTAAGAATTCTGCATTTAATCATTGTTTTCACCTACTTGTTGGAGATATGTATTACCCTAATTTAGGTTGTAATGTCCTGTACTTCTCTGGTACCACATCACATACATGCACACATTTAAAAATGGCTTTATTTGGCTTTCAGTTCTCTGCAGTTATTTTAACAGCAACTTGTCTGTTTTTGTTAGAGATTGGCAAGATCTCATTTGAATTCTTCAAGACATTTCAGGTGAAAGTTATCTGGCTCCACTGACTTGTTATTGTGCAATATATTATGTCACTGTTATTTGACATGCATTTTCAGATGTTATCCCTCCTCAAATAATCATACAATTATAACCATTTTCTCCAACAAGCATTTTTCACAAGAAGGATAGATGTGAAAAATCCATTTTGCTTCTCTGCTGTCTTCTTGTCCTCCTTTAATCTAGACATCTTATTTGTTCTATGTGACTTCAAACTCCTGGTACACTGAAGAGGGAAGCAAAGTTGCCAGAGCTTCTGCTCTTCTTTATGTTTTCTTCATATTGGCAACATATCTGGTTTTTAAAGGGAAGCTACCTTGTCTTTTGTAGACTCTGGAATATAGCCACCCTGGTGTCATTTATACTTTTCTGGTCCCCTGATATAAATAGTTTGATTTCAACCTTTATGACAGAAGTTTGAATACTCAGTTTTCCTCCTGTGTGGGGGGGTAGGGGGTGGAACATCGGGACTATGGTACGGTAAAGATTTAAAATGTCTCTCTTTGTACCTTAAGTTGTCTTCTGGTATTTGAAAATTATGTTAAGTAAGGATAGAGATAAAGACAATGCAGACAACTGTGGAGATATTACAGATAGTTCTCTGGATATTAAGGTTGGACCATCTACTCCTTCTGGATTCAACCTACATTTGTCTTTATTTTTTATTGTAAGATCTTAAGCACATTTTTGCTGAAATAAAGAACTAGTTAGTGACATGTTTCAGTAATCTGCATTAAGACCTCTCTTGTATCTTTTTGTTTAGTGTAGGTATATTCACTGATCTTTTCCAACCTCTAGGAAACTCAGACTTGTTCCATATTTGTTAGCCTACAGCTGTATGCTTCCTCTTCAGTTTGACAACTGATTGTTGCCTGTTCTATCTCACTTTCTAGCGGAGCTGTTTTTTTGAATATTTGCTTTCTACACAAATGTTTGTCATTTTATAAGCTCTTTGTGAAATATTTCATTCTAGTATTTCCACCTTCTTTTAGCCTTATTTGCCTCTGTTAGATCTCTTTAATAATACCTCTTGAGTAATGGCTGTGTATTTTTCTGTGGGGGGGGGGGTTCTGATTTTCTTCAGTATCTCTTGTTGTCCTTTCCTTGATACATTTTTATTTGCTGATGTTCTTGATTGAGATATCTTTCCTTATCCTTTCTTGCTTGACACTGAAAATCTGTATTCAGTCATTGTACATCCTTGTTACCCAAGGCTTTCATTCTCCATCTTTCACTAGCTATTGTGGTAGCTTATTCTGAAAGCTATTTGGATCTTCTCCTAAGATTTTGGGAATATTTTTTTCTTCTTTGGTTTTCACAATGTGTCTCTTGTTTCTTCCTATAGCTCCTCATGTCCTCTTTCTTGTATGTTAAGCATATTGAATCTGTTCCTTACATTAATCCTGTATCTGTCTATATATCCTTCAGATTGAATGTTGCTGACATAAATACTGTCTTTAATTTTCTAAGTTCAACCCATGTATTTGACATAAATAATTTCACTATCTGTACCTGGAAGTGTCCTGATTGTTCTTCTCCATATTCCAGTTCCTATTATGTAGTTAATGTGATGTTCCAGTGTTATTTATTTATGTTGCTTAAAATAAATATTTTAACCAACAAATAATTCTCTTCACAGAACTCTGTTATCCTATCTCCTGCATTCTTGTGTTTGCCCATCCTAAATCTTCCTGTAATCCCTTGTTTCTTTTGCACTGTAATTGTCCATTAGTAGTACTACATTTCCAGGTGTTGCATTCAGTACCACTTGAGGTTTGCCATAACTACCTCTATGTCTTTCATCATTGAGTTGTAATAGGTACATCTGCTTGTGTAATATTCATGTGCACTGGATATACATTAATTTCAGTTGATATGATTTACTGGATGACAGCTGAACCCATAATTATCATTGTCCTTTCCACTCTGTTGCCACACCATTGCCCTTGCTACTCCATTCCTTCTTATGGTCTCATGCCCTGAATAAGTATATCATCTCATTTAAGTGTACTTATTCCAGACCATATAAAATCTCTTATTCCTTAATGTGCTTCTTTTCTGCTTTCAAAATGTCAAGCTATATTCGTTCATGTTTTTCACATTCTGTGGTCCCACTGCATGTATCCGTGTAAAGTGAGGAGTCTCTTTCAATACTGGCACCTCTGGTGCACATTTTTCCTTGTGGCTTTGGCAGTACCTCCAGATCTACATCTACTGAAGTTTGATGATCTTCCCCAACAACTAAGAAGTGCTTTCCAACCTGGAGGGTCCTATCATCTCACGCTCAGTCTAAACACTTCAGGCATGTCCATGTAATTTTCTAGGCTAGTTTTCAGGTTTAATTTTGGAGTTCCTTTTCCTAGGGTTGGTTTCTCTCATGCATTCACTGTTCCACCGGCTCTTTCCCCTTCTTACATTTATCTTTTTCCTTTTGACCCTAACCATGAGTTTCCACCAGCATTGCTATCCTAGATTGTATTTTGGATTAAGACAAGACAAGAGTAGGCAATTTCCACCCAGGAGGAAGGCTGCAAATGTGGTCAGTTCAAAATTCCTGAAAGCTAATGAGTAATTATAGCAGGCACTGATATTTTCTCAGAATTTTGCAATCTGATCCACTGCTTATCTTTGCTCAGTGTAGGTTATTACAAGCCATTATCTGTTTAACAAGAGTGGAAAGAGTATTAATCATATATACTTACATTTTTTATGCAGAGGCTTACATAAACAAGAATATACCACATTGTCCTAGAGTCAGTTGAATCCTGCAGAAGCATTCCCAGTCCAGTCCTCTGATCACTTGCCACTTCATGTTTCCTTGTGATGTAATGCTTAGTTATTTTTGCCAGCTCTATTAGCCCACACACAAGTCTTGGCTAATAACCAAAAATGAATGTATTTGTTTGTCGTTTTGCTAACAGCACATTGGGATTGTGCTTGGTTTTGGATTTTTTTGGTTTTTTTTAGCTATGCAATAAAAAAAAATGAAATTTCAGCCCTTTTATGAAAAGAAAAAAAATCAGCATGTACAAGGCTAAACAATGTCCTTTACTGTTGAAATGTAATCTACTGTAACCTTTTGGAGTATGGTCAGAGCAGTTTCTAAGAGTAATTTATGTAAGAGAACAAGTGATACGGCTGGTGTCATTTTGGACTGACCCAAGAGTATCAACTAAGAAATGGTTTTGTGTTTATGTCACATAGGATTTGAAACTTTGTTCTTTAGACCTAGACCCCTAAAAGTACTGCAAAGAAGATATGTGCATAGATGATAGAGATGTTTGTCTGGATTCTAGGGGCATTCATTTTGCATTGCTTTGTTTGCACCCAAATGACTTGACTGGATGAATCCCTTGATGCATGGGAGAAGGGTTACGTCAAAAGTCTCTACCCGATTGTGCAGCTCAATCAGGATTGAAAGCCTACTTCTCTACCCATGTTTCAAAGATAATCATATAGTCATTACAGGTAGGCTTTTAAGCATTGTTGGTGGAACTTCAGGGAAAACTTGAGACTCTTCTCTAGACAAAATTTATGTCTCCATTTAGACAAAAACCAATGAATAATAAAAAGTTCACCTTTCCCCAACATACAAGTTCCCAACTTTAGCCAGCTATGAGTCCAGACAAAAAAGAAAAACAAAAGTATGCAGGAAAAGTGACATGGGTGTAGATGCTTTATAGCCTCTTTCTTCCTGCTCCCAGGCAGAGCCAGCCTGTCTGCCCTTTCCAGTCATGTGGACTTAGACAGCCCTATACGTCGGCGCTCTCGGCTGGGGCTACTTTCTCCAGGTAAGTATAAGCTGCCTAAGCCAGGACATGTTGCTCTGCTTCTTTTGCAATTCAAGCCATGCAAGTGTGCAGTATTTAGGGTCTCAGATCCAGGTGGCAGCAACAGGGAAGGAGAATTTCTCTTATTTTAAACAGATGGACTTTTAAAACCAAATATAAATAAATAATTTAATGAACTTCCTAAGGGGAGAAGCACAGTTTGGTTGTGGTCAACAGTAGTAGGAGGGTAGAGAGAGAGAACCCTCACTGAGTTGTTATAAAGCCAAAGAATATGTCTCTTATTGTCATATATCTAGAAATGGAAAATAGTTTGAGGAGAGCTGAAAATACTCTGATGAGAGTCTTTACTGTCCAGAGTACATGCACATTTAAGCTCTCTCTCAAAATTGCTTCTGGTTATATTAGGTCTCCCTCCCCACCCCAGTTCTCTTTTCAGATTTTGAAGCAGTGCAAAATTTTGCAATGGCTATTTTCCAAGGACATCAGTAGAATGGCCATATGTGTCAATACTAGTTATTCCTCTTTCATACTGTTCTGGGTTCTCAAAAGACAAAATGAAGCAAAATCTTGTTGGCTACTATTCAAAATAAGATTGCCTATCTGGTGTAGCTTCAAGAACATAATGGACTTCCTTATAATTTTGTTCAATTAATAATCTTTAACAGAAGTAGAAATCAGGTGGAGAAGCTGGTACATTCAAGTTACCAGGTTCTTTTCCTTATCCGCTGCGTCACTTGAGCCCATTTTTGTTCTTGCTCAATGCACTTTTGCTCTGCTGAGTTATGGAGGAGCTACAGCTTTCTCCTTGTTCCACTAATATCCTGGTGGCCACCAGCTAGCACAAACTACCAGCTTTGCTTCATGGAGAGTGTGTGGCAGTTTACAACAGCTGAAGATTGTAGTGCAAGTATGCATGTGCCATCATACAAGCCAAATACCTAGGATATTTCTACTTCTCCAGCCACACCTGAGTAGTCTGCGGACTACTCATAGAAAACTTTTTAAAGTATGGCTTCAGAAGGAAAAAGAGATTTGCCCTTGGCTTTCTTGATCACCACAACAGAATCTGATCAATAGAAGCGAATATGTGTAGCTCAGGGTTGAACTGTGGAGTCCTTGGAGATCTGTGAGCTTGGTTGCTTTCTTGCAAACGTTTTGTTACCCGGCTAGGTAACATCTTCACATCAAGGAACTACCAGAGGAAAAAACAAAAGAAAACAAAACCCCCACCCCCACCAACACTGGCAGGGCAAGCCACTGTATATAAACAGAGCAAACCCCATTCCATTCTAGGACTGAAGATGTTACCTAACCGGGTAACGAAACATTTGCAAGAAAACAACCAAGCTCAGAGAACCCCAAAGACCCCACAGAATCTGATCAATTGGTATGGATTTGTTCCACTTATCCAAATGCTGGTTGTAAATTTTGGAGAGTTAATCGGAATGAATGCCAAATTTCTTTATCTTTATTTTTTCTGAGAAGGTCCAGCTGGGGTACACATTAGCCTATAGGCAATGTATGTGCAAGCAACACTCGTTGCATTCCTCCTTTGGCTTCTGCTTTGTGTTGTCCTAATAAGTCTCTTGATGAAGACATTCTGGGAGTTGTAATGGAGAAAGGCACATCATTATTTTTACTATTACAGTATTATTACCATTACCTTAATGTTTAGTCTGCCTCAGGCACCTGTGCCTGTCTAAGTATCTTAATATTTAAGATAAATGAATTACAGACCTCCTAGTTACCTGGTAGTTTCATTCTTCACCATAGCAGCATTCCCATTAACAGCAGAGAATGAGGCAGGGTTTTCAGACAAGAACGCACACCTTGACAGATAATGATCAAGCTTCAAGCTATGCCAGTAGATTAACATCAAGCATCATTTCTTTTTGTGCCAACAGAGCTAATGAACAGTTGGTTGTCTCCCATGGGCAAATCTGCTGTCTCAAGCTTTAGTCATGATGCTTAGTAAATTGACAGCATCTTTCTACAATGCTGAAAGTATTCTTCAGAAACGGTGAAGGGTGTGCAAACGATTAGTCTTTATGAACTGGTTTATGAACACCCCAACAGTGTGGTCCTCACTTTCTGATATCCCACTGTGTTCAGAATTACTGAAGAAAGGGAGAGAGCCATTCAGTATGATATATAGCACTAACACCACAGACTCAAATGCAGATCATAGGAAGTTAGACTGGCAAAGAATTGGTATATAAACCAAGTTTAGGTCCTAATCTAAAATGGGCTTCATCACCCAACAGCCTAGTTTCCTTGGCAAGAACAACATGCATAAAATAATTATTGTAAAGAACTCAAGCCAGAAAATCAACATAAATTTTTCCCACCCCCTTTTTATTTTTCTTAGAACTTAAACCTGAGGTACATGTATGGAACTGTTAAATACAGCTCTTTAATCAAACACCAAATTAAGTCTTGCAGTCTTTATTTAACTACAGGCACTGTAAGAAGAAAATACCAAATCGGAGTTGGCACTGCCTGACTCAGCATTGCCATAAGCTTCACCAAGAGCCGCGTCAAAGCATTCTTGGGTGTCCTTCATCCAGGAAGAATGCTTCCCTTACAGAATTTCAGGGTAACCAAAGATGATGGCAATAGTTGGGAGAGTGTCATTTGACACGTAACTTACACTGAATAATGGGTTTGTGCTAGTTTGCTCCAACAGTGAATGTAGGGAAACAGCAGCAACCTAGAGAGTGCCACCTAGTGAGCCAGACCTTTGTCTCACAATTGATTGAAGATCACATTTTATAGAAGTGCAGATTAGCATACGGTTGCCCTTGCTGCATTTCTCAGTCCTAATTCAGAATACAGCAGCTACAGAGTGAGTGCCTCAGCACCCATTGTGCAGTTCCAGAAGGCTTAGAAACCCAGGCCTCAATTTCTACTGTGGTGTGTATCTGCAATTGTCGACTTGCATGGAAGCCGGCAAACTCTGCTGTTAAACAAATATCCACACACGGATCTCTGAGACAGTTTGTCACTCTCTATATCTAGAAACAAGTCCAGGAGGTCTGTAATGCATTAGAAGTCCAGGCAGTAACAAATCTGTGTTATATTACAGGATTACACATCCATTGGTGCTTAGCTCTGGAATGCATGCACCAGGACTCCCACACCCAGGCATCACATCTCCATCTGGGAAACAAGAAATGGATCATTACGACCGAAGCATGTAAGTAGCCAAGAATTGGGATGAAGACCTATAGGTACAGGTCCATTTATTTATATATTAAATTTCTATATCTTCAAGATTCACAGCCCTTACAGCAACATATTAAGAGACAATAAACTTTCCACAAGAAAATAAAAGTAATACAATGCACCACGAAGACAGAACTATGATTACAGGTAGTCCTTGAGTTATGACCATTTGTTCAGCGACCATTGGAAGTTACAGTGGTGCTGAACAAATAGTACTTTCACCTGGTCCCCAAAGTTATGGCTTTGGCAAAGTTATTGCAGCACCCCTGCAGTCACATGATCTACATTTGGGCACTTGGCAGCCTGCCCACACTTACAACCGCAAGGGCATTTCAACTCCCCCCACCTGCCTATTCCCCCACCCCATCTCTGCCCTTTTGGCCACCCTACACAGTGGTACTCTTCAGCAGCAGCAGTGGCAGCACTGGGGCTGAAGTAGAGGCCTGGGGTCTGCAAGCAGTCTCAGCTGGCTGCTTGGACCCCTGGGCCTCTACTTCAGTCTCAGTGCCACTGCTGCCAAGGAGTGCCATGTCCAGCCACCCCAGTGCCACAGTCCAAAGCTCCAGCCACTCCTGCCACCCTGCACTCCGCAGGCCCTACCATGTCCAGCTGGCCTTCACTGTCTTCCTCCCCCTGCTGACAAGGTGTGCCCGGCCTGGTCCTATGCGAGGCAGCTGCTGGCCACACCAGGACTTCTTCCCAAGGCTGCTCATGCCATTCTCCAATTTTTTTTATTTTTTTATTTATTTTATTTTATTTTAGATATTTATCCCGCCTTTATTATTTTTTATAAATAACTCAAGACAGTGAACATACATAATCCTCCTTCCTCCTCCTATTTTCCCCACAACAACCTTGTGAGGTGAGTTGGGCTGAGAGAGAGTGACTGGCCCAGTCACCCAGCCGGCTTTCATGCCTAAGGCGGGACTAGAACTCACAGTCTCCTGGTTTCTAGACCAGCACCTTGACCAATAGCGCATGTTGTTCTTGCAATGCTGCGGAAGGCCTCAAAAGTTTTCCGAAGGCTTTCCGAAGCATCACAAGAATGGCGTGAGCGGCTTCGAGAAGAAGGGCTGGAGCGGCCAGCAGCTGCCTTGTGCAGGGCTGGGCCAGGCACGCCTCTTCAGCAGTGGGAGGAAGATGGTGAAGGTCAGCTGGGGGCAGCAGGGCCAGTGAATGCAGGGCAGCAAGGCCAGCAGAGGCAGTGGACTGTAAGGTGGTCAAAAGGGCAGAGATGAGGGAGAGATAGGTGGGGGGGAGTTGAAGAGGAGGCAGTCCCATACCTTACCAAGGCTCAGGGCTGGAGGGGCCAAGCTGGGAGTGGCTTGGATCCAGGTGGTCCTCACCTAACAACTGGTGGGATTCTGTTAATAATGGCAACGGGGAGTGCTGGGATTGCTGTTGCTAAACAATGCGGTCATGTGACATCACGCTTTACAGCCACATTGCTTAGCAATGGAAATTCCAGTCCCAATTACCATCGTAACTTGAGGACTACCTGTAACTAATAACTAATAATAAGTAATACCCAAATAGTGACAGCAAACAAGCACTCCATAAAGGCCTTCCAGTTTCAGTCTTTAAAAGCCTCTGGAAAGACATTACAGAAGGGGGCAGCCATGACAGAAATGCAGTGCTTTCTAACCTCAGCCACCCTCACTTCACAGAAATGGGTTATTATAAACTGCTTCTCCTAGGGGAACCTCCTCAGATGGGATGAATCTGGAAGGAGTAGGCGGTCTAATAGGTTCTCCTGGTATGCTTCCTACCAGTTCCTTCTCTTGGAAGAACTGCTGCTGCTTCTCATTTGCAAACCAGTATCCACAAGGCTCCTTTTCAGGGTCCCATCTGGAAGATTGCATGTCACCCTTCTGCTGATTATTCATCAGGCATACCCATGCACACATCTGTTGTAGCAGTTCAGATAGAAATCTTCAGTTCTTCCAGAGTAATAAATGTGGTGGTTGTTACCTGAATATTTAATATGTCAGATTAACAGACCAAATTGATTGAATTGGATCAGTAGGGCCATATATTCTAAAATTATATCTCCAGCTAACCCCTTGAAGTTAGCTACTACTAGAAAAGATACTTTGCTGTTTTTATGTTGAAATTGTTTAAATCTAATCTTTGGCTCATCGGTTTCAATCCTTTCCTGGTTTTCTAAGGGGTTATCATGCTGCCGTGAGACCCTGTATTATCAACTGTTTCTTTTCTATTTCATATAAGGAAATCACAGTCAGAACCAAAGAGAGAAAAGGAAGCTAAGAAGCCTACCATCAAGAAGCCTTTGAATGCTTTTATGTTGTACATGAAAGAAATGCGGGCAAAGGTCATTGCTGAATGCACCTTGAAGGAAAGTGCTGCGATCAACCAGATTTTAGGGAGGCGGGTAAGAGCACAAGTGGACTGTCTTATTCTGATGAATATATACTGTAGGCATTAGGAAAGGTTTGTGATGAATGAGTTGTTCAGTGCTTTCAGAAATTGTGGACTTTAGTTTCAGCCAAGTTATTGCTCCATTAGATTGGGAAAGATTATAGAACACAGGCTGGAGAAAGGCTTTGGAAATTATTCTCCTTGTGTGGTAGCTGTATAGAGGCCTGGCTAATATGCAGTCTACAGTATATGAACAGACATTTTCAGAGCTGAGATCTCCGTGGTTTTGCTGCGCCTTCTCCATATTTAGACTTCACTGGTCTCTGAATCTCTTTCAGTGCATTTGGACGCGCTTTGGAAATGTATTCTAACAAAATTTATAATAAAACTTCTTCACTGCTGCAGAAGGGATTGCTTAAGAAAATCCATCAACCCCCAAATGTTTCTCTTCCTTTTTCCAATTTATTTTAGGAGGATTGTATAAAAGTCCTTGTATCATCTGATGATGAGTTACATTTCATTATCTGGGACTTTCAAAAGATGCCAGGAATTTTAAATTGCAGAATTTATCATTTGTAGATCACTTTCAACTTCTAAAATGTTTTTCACTCCACAAGGTACAGGTCCACATAACACTGTAAGGCAGGTACCAAATATTCTCATTTTTTTTATGGATGGGGATATAACATGAGAAATAATCTACCAAAGGCTGCTCAATTAATTTATTATAACTGAAGAAGCTTTTTCATTTTGAATTTCAGTGATCCAAGACTGGTGATCTCTCTAATCTCCTGTTTTGTCTGTTGAGCATGTAACTTCCTTTTTCTCATCTAGGCATAAACTAGTTAGGTACATGACTTTCAATTTAATCCCAAGAATTCCACATTCTGATCTTGATTTTAGATTTAAACAGTAAAAAACTTAAAATGGATATATTTTTGTTTAAAAAAAAGTTAAACACAAGTTGTTGGTGAATTCACTGTCAGAATCTCTCTTTTCCCAAATTTTGGGTTTTTTGAACAACGTGCAGGAATCCAGTTTACGTACACAATAAGAAAAAATAGAATTCTCTTTATTTAATAAACTCTTGCTGTTGCTTCCTGCACACAGAAGTTCATTCTGCATAAAAACTGATAAGTACAGGCATATGCAAATGGACGACAATGACTGAATTAGTAATTAGTGATTTGGGGATTTGAGAAACTAAGAAATTCTAAAAGAAAATTGCTATTTCTGCATCTTTTATTTCATGTTCTAGTACGGAAAATGTGTAGGTGGAAGGGGGAAGTGGAGCATTACCTTATCACAAGACTTGGTATACTGTCACTGTATTGTTGCTGAGCGACAGTTCCCAGAATCCTTCCTGCTAGCCATTCTTTAGAGTCGCAGCTGCGAGACTATAAATCAAAATAATTAATAAACAAACAAATTTCTAGGAGTTGTAGTTCGGCAACATCTTCAGTGTCACAGATTCCTCATTCTGCTCTGTTATGTGAAAGGTTCTTTTAAAATACAAATGTATTATTTTCCAGATCCTTCCTGTATAAAGATGTGTCTCTTTCATGTGTTTATCAAGATCAGATGCGTGCAACAGATTGTTTCCAAATACCATGTGTAAAGTTAAGGATTGGATAGGCCAGTATCTTTGTTAATATGTTACTCTTCCTCCTGCTCACCTTGCATCTATAGAATAAATAAGATGGTGAGAGAATTAAGATTTCTGGAAATGTTTTAGATCTTGCTTAAGAATGTGGCTGGTTGCTGCTGATGGGAGCTGTAGTCTACCAACACCTGGAAAACCAGTTTCCTTTCCTGATAATTGGGGCTCTGGTACTCTTTTCTGATCTGGGTGTGAGAGCACTTGTAGGCTCTTTGGGAGTTCATTTTTTTAATATATATATTATATGGTTCCTTTTCAGTGGCATGCATTATCACGGGAGGAGCAAGCCAAGTATTATGAACTGGCCCGCAAGGAAAGGCAGCTTCACATGCAGCTGTATCCTGGCTGGTCTGCAAGAGATAACTATGTGAGTATTTGGGATCTGTGGTGGTGGCAGAGTTTGTCTAGGACATTAGCTGTTTTTGCTTTTTAAATCATCTCAGACTTCTTCATCTTTGCCAGTAATTGCTTTCAGTTATCTGTCTTAGTAGGTGATGCCAGCCCAGTGGGAGACTACATCGAGGGTTGCTTTCCAAAGCTTTAGGGTTAGCTGGATCATCTGAATGTCACATAAAGGTCGCTGCCAACTGATAGAGGAAGGTCAACAAGTATTGACGGCAAGAGTGTTTTATTTTGCATTTCACCCTGAAAACTTTCTGAGCTTAAAGCTGAAAAGAACTTTTCTAGGTTCAATGGGATTCTCTTTTCTGCTACTTTCGCACAATGTATTGCAAGCCATAACTCACACACTCACAAATTCCTAGTTTCAAATTAATCCTTTGCAACAAGGGATGGGGGGAGAAAATTAGAACAGAAAGAATTGACAGCACTGTCCAAGTACTGGAAGCAGTAGAGAAACTAATTTCCTAGAAAGTTCTTTCTTTGGAAACCACTGAGCTTAGGATGTGAATTCAATAGGTCATTATATGCCAGAATATTAAGAGTAGATTAAACCCTGCATTGCTATAACTGCCCTTCGGTCATTTGTTTCAGCAGGATCTTGTACAATTAACTTCAGTCCAACTCAAAAAGATGTTCAATGTATCTAATGCCACTCTCTCTGTTTACCATGAGAGTGGATGACTGTGTTGGTCCACAATTGTTCTGATTGGGCCACAGGCTGACATATTGAAGGAGTATTCTAAAGTGTGTTGAGTATTCACAGTTGAGGGTTTTACAAATCTATGCTTTTTCATAGGTTTCTATTTTGCACACTTCATTTTCTTTGCTATTTCAAGTTTGTCATTTATTTATTTTGCCAATGTATGTCATAGCCTGCTGAACCTTATCTTTTCCCCCACTTTCTCAAAGTGGTATTTTGGGCCTATTCTCTTAAACTTCTTCCTGCTGGGATCTATTATTTCAACTTTCAATATTTGTTTTCAGTTCTAAAAAGAAGACTGTAAGCTTTTTTTTCTTTGCATACATTTTGCATACTTTTCTCTTTTTTATACAGTATTTTGACTGGATTGTAATTATTTCTGACTGGGTACCTCAGATTACCTAAAACAGAGCTATTGCTCTTCTCTACACATCCTTCATTTTCTTTCACTTTTTATTCTCCATTCTATCCACAGACAGAATATATAAAATGTAAAACTCCTTCCTTTCTCAAATTTACAATGTTGCTATTTCCAACTTTTGAATGCTGATAACATTCTTTTTTGATACTTCCTTTCTTCTTACCCTCCTTGATTCCTGCCAGCCCCTTGGCTTTCACTTATTTCATTCTTATCTCTATCTTATTTTTTCTTACTTTTAGTTTTAGTACCAATATTGTTTTGTTTTCTGTATGTTGTCTCATAGTATATATTTTCTTCCCTGGACTTTCTTCCTCAACAAATCCATATACCTCTTTTTTTAAGAACAAATCATTCAGATTTTAGCTCCTCATCTGTCTTCTCCATTTGCCATCTTGTAGCTTCCACTCTGTAAGAACTATTTGTTACTCTTTGCGTTGACCTCCACTTAGTGCTTCTATGTTATGCCCCTTTCTCTTTGCCTGGATCTCATGGTTCCCACGGGATCTGCATCTCCCCATGCTTACCTTTGTTTACCTGGTGCTCAGAAATCTATTTCTTCTCCTGAGCACTTAACCTCTGATCTCTGCTGCCTTTTTTCATTCTCCATCTTCTCCATGTCCCTGTTTTCTTTATTGAGCGTGATGCTTTATGAATGTATTCATAAGTACATATTCACAAAACATTCTGCTATGAAATGTTCCAATCTCAAAACAGTTTTTTTTCCCCAAGTGTTCTAACCTCATTATGTGCCGTTCTGAGTATTCAGGAAGTATCCAACCTTGCAATGGGCTATTCCAAAAAGTGATCTCATTTCTCCATGGGTCATTTTCAGTTTAGATAATATCTGAAATACTTGGAGCCCTCTCTTTCACAGTCAAAACATTCCATTCCAAAATGTTTTGTGAATATATATTTATGAACAGTCAAAATAAATGGTATTATCATTGTCATTATTATTCAGTGCTCCCTTAGCTTAAATAGAATCGGATATGAAACTGACAAATTTCGCCTGCCAATATTCCCTTGAGAGTATTGAAAATAAGTGAGTGACAATAAAGGCTAGACCCTTTATTGGAGCTAGGCAAGTGCTCAGGTATGACACCTGACTAAGATACCTAGTTCTTGTGATAAAAATAAACAATTGCTGTAAGGTACTTCTCCACACAATATAATGTCATGCCTTGAAATTGAATAAGGATTTAATTTAAAGTTTTGAAGATCTCTATTTATTAACTTGTTGCTCTCATCAAGAAACAATTTACTTTCTCCACATGCTCACAGTGTAATGTAGGTAAAAAAACAACAACCAGTCAGATAATAGGAAGAGGAATTATTTCCTTTAAATTTATATGAGCTTGAATTAGATTTATGGTCTAATTCAAACTCATAAAAAAGATCAAGGAAAATTTACAGTGGAGAAAAGGAGAAAGGCTTTGCTAGTATTCTCAAAGTTAATAATAATCTCACTGAAATTGATGTTTCAATTTTTAATTATTGGTGTAAATGAACATGTTGGATCTTTCTCTCTCAATGACATGATTTATCTTATCCTTTTTGTGTGTGATTATTATAACTGCATTCAGCCAGTTTAATACTGCCAGATCTAAATTGATTTTGGTTCAGAGAAATGTGGTCCAGCCTTTCATGATCAGGTACCCTTGAAATGCTTTGCACATCATCCACAGCCATGTGGGAATGATGAGAATTGCTATCCAGCTAATTTGATGGATACCAGGATGTGCAAGGCTGATACTGAGCACTACATTTGTCTTGCATTCATATCAACTCCATAATTTATATTTCCCTGTAGCCAATTGAAGCTTTTTAATATGAATCAGCAATACAGTGGTCCTTTAGTCTTCAAGTTATGTTTTGATTTTTCTGCTGTCCAGTTAAGAGGAAGCCATTTAGCCAAAAAGACATGGAACTGTACATCAGTTTCATAGATTTTTGGAGAAGAAGACTTCAACTTTTACAGTAATGCTTATTATTTCTACCATTCCTGTCTATTTGTTTACATCTCAAATTTCATGGAGTTGCAAACTACTACATGTTCATCTTTGGAAATTTGCTCCTTGACTATAATGTTTCCTGTTCAAAGCTCGGTGCAAAAATGCAGTATGCATTTTTACTTTTTAAAGGAATATTGGTGGGTCCCCATAGAAAACACACTGATTCTAAGGAGGAGCAAGAGATGCTGCCAGCTTTCTAACAGATAATGTCCAAACCTCTTTTCACTAGGGACAATTCCTTGGTTAGTACTCATTTCAAATAACAGCTGCTTTCATTTTCCAAAACTATTGATATTATAAGAGAACTCAGTAAGCATCTGTTTTGAGCATTCTAGCATTTTATAACTCCAAAATGAAAAAAGAAAAAAAACATGGAAGCTTGCTTGCAGGTATATATGCAGCTAGGTGGCAGCACCCAGCCAATTTTGTCTGCTCTTGAATAGATTTACAGGATTGGAATTCAGTTGTGCTTGGATAAAAAGGAAAGGAAAGTCCAGGGCTGTCAAGTTAGACTAGGAAGTTGAAAAATCATGCTAGTACAAAGCAGTGGCAAACACCTGCCAAGAAAACTACATGACCTTAGTCACAGAGAAGTTGGATTCAAAGGATACAGGTAGCCCTCGCTTAGCAACCGCAATTGGGACTGGCAACTTCGTCGTTAAGCAATGCAGTAGTTAAGCGAGACATCACGTGACTCCAACAGACTTCTGACCTCACTTCCACCACAGTCGTTAAGTGAATCACCCGTGGTTTTTAAGCAAGACATCACATGACCCCAACTTACAATTTTACTCCCAGCTTCCCCATTGGCTCTGCTTGTCGAAAGCTGGCTGTAAAGTGTACAAATGGCAATTGCATGACCGCAGGATGCTGCAACAGTCGTAAACGCCTAGCAGTTGCAAACTGCCCAAATCTCAATCATGAGACTGCAGAGATGCTGCGATGGTCATAAGTTCAAGGACCGGTTGTAAAGCTTTTTCAGCGCTGTCGTAACTTCAAACAGTCACTAAACAGGGCAGTTGTTAAGCGAGGATACCTGTACTTTTCTTTATGCAGGTCTATGGAAGATTTAGATCTAGTCTAATAACTTCCATTGCATTTGAGGATGAACACTGTAGGGAAAATAGTCTGCAGAAATCTGGTTACATCTTGTCGTGATCCATCAGCTTGTATGAATAGTGCAAAATGGATTTCTTTGCAGTATAATGCACTTGTGGATACTTCATAACAATTCAATAAACAAAAAATGGAAAAGCAGCAACAGAAAGAAGACTCATATCTGGATATAGCTGCACTTGATCTCATGCATGAAATGTGACAAAGAAAGAAAATTAAAGGAATATTCAGTGATAGTTAAGCTACACCAAGCTTCTTTAAATTTGATGGTGCCTTCTCTGATGCTTGCCTTAGCAGGTTGTAGCACTTGTGACTTTGGCTGATCTCAGAAGCTAAGTATGGTCAGCCCTGGATAGTACTTGGAAGAATTCCAGTAAAGAATTCCAAGGTTGTTGACTAGGCTGGGAATTTGAAAAAACCAGAAAACAGTAGCAAAACATTTCCATAGCACTGCTAAGAAGACTGCATGGATGGCAAGTTCAGTTTAAGGATGTATACTTTTATTTACCTACATCTCTATTCCCTCTGCATGGGATCTTGCAAAAGAACCTGAAACTTGGGAATTGAGGATTTTGCCTGAATGAACCAGCACCAATAAACTCCCTAAAACTCTCCAGCTCTCAGATGGAAGATGGAAGGCCCAGATGATAAATTCCTTAGCTTCAGTCTGGGATTTTATGGCTAAATGTAAAAGAAGGATCCTGCACATTACACCT